AAACGCGCGACGGCCCTACCGAACTTCGAGTGGTGCAAGACGGGAGATGTACTTGTCAATGGCGAGGGATGGAGAGGGAGGAACAGGAAGGGGGAGCTGGGCTAAGGTACGGAGGTCACCCTGGCGGTGTCACCCGTAGCCATTTTGGCTCAAGCGGGGACAATGGCTCAAGGAGCTCGAGGACAAATCGGGGGGGCAATTTCGTTAACATTGCGTTGTCCATCCCATAGAGAGCCCTAGACCCGACCCACGCGCGGCTGCCATGGCTGCACCACCGAAGGTACAGGCTAAACTCGACTGTGCCTTTGCATCGACCATTCAACGAGGACCGCAATCGTCTCCGGTGAAGGAGCGAGAAGCTGGAGAAGATCCAACGCCTGAAAGAGTCTTTGTCTTCTACGACTCCGGCATCTGGGAGCGGCTCACATGCTGCCGCCTCGCAGTCCCCAAACATGGATATTTGTGATGCTACTCACGCTCTGACTAAATGGACAAGCTGGCCTTCAAATCGGACGTCGACAATTTGAAGACGGACCTGCAAGCTAAGATCAAGCTCTCGGTGGCAGAAGCCGTTGACCCTCTGAAATCTGACATGTGCGATCTGAAGGAGCACAAGTCGAAATTAGCAAGCACCGGTAGCAACGGCAGCGGCAGCGTCCAACGAGTTCATCGCCGATCTTCAAAGCGCCGTCAATCGTCTTGATCCCGCAGTTCGTCACATCGCTTTGTCGGCTGGCAAGACGACGTTACCGAGGACACCAGGGCCCAGATGATGGCACAGTTCTGCCGTTCTCATTTTCCGAACGCTCGTCCTACAGGGTTCGGGCATAATTCTCTTGACCGTACTCCAACAAGAAATAGTCTCAAGCTTCGCATGTTGAGTTCTGCAGCAGCGACGTCGCGAAGTCCTGCATTGGCGCGTTAGCATCGTCTGGCGTCACGTGCGAGCGCAGTGGCAAGCAAATCGTCGTCAAAATGGCCCGCGCGGAAATGCAGAAGCAGCGTACTTGGGCATTCGCACGGCAGACTCGCTCATCAAAGAGAGCCCCCAACCCACCGGGAGGGATGTGAAGATTCTCTGGAAGGTGGGGAGTTCCAAGGAGAGGCACGCGGTTGTCAACGACGTCGTTGCCCTCCGTCAGGGCAAGGAGGACCCCGCTGGAGCTTTCCACGCAGATTTTAGGCACCTGGTCATCGAGTAGGGTCTTCCCGGGGCCGCCCATCAATACCCAAACCCTTTATCGAGCCAGTTTCAATTATCGCCGGCGCGCCCGCCTCCCAGAGGTAGATGAGCGGCGCCAGCAGACAGTGCCCCATCATCGTCTTCGACGCCGTGGTCCACGCTCTGCGCAAGCATATGCACATCGACTCCAGAAGTGGCCATATAATTCGGGGCTCCGTCGCCCCCCCCGACGGCGGTCCGCGAAAATCTGGGCCTGAGCCGTCGGACTGCAGTCTGCATTCCTCCATGTTCAACGTGAACCTCGGCGGTTTTCTTAGCCGCGCGGCCAAACTTCACCACGGGCAAGGTTAGGCAGATCCCCCAACTATTGTAGCCGTGAACGAGACTTTCCTGGACAAGTCGGTTTCTGGAATTGACGTGGAAAGCCATTGCCGGATGTTCCGTCTCGATCGTCGCGCTGCGAGGAAGCGCGGAGGTGTTGCTGTGTCCTCCAAATTGAGTTTTGCCAAGCACGTTGTTCACATTGGTGATTCGCTCGAGTGCGAGCACCCTGGGCACGTCGCTCACGCAAACCATGGTCCTCTACTATTTTGCGTCTGGCAGCGGCCACCTTGCCCCAGAGAAGTGGAGTCGGTTCTAGAATTCGAACGGGAATGGGAACAGCACCAGCACCTTGCACTTGGAACCGTCGTCGCGGGCAACGCGGACGTGCATTCAGTTTCTTGGTTGAAGCATTCGCGCAGCAAGTCCTCAGAATGCTGTTCCTTGCGAATAGCACGCTCGCGAATGGGCCTGGCGGAGAGTCGGGCAACCGACGCGTGGAGAATGCTTGCTTGACTTGGTCTTGACAGACTTTAACGCCAGGGTCGAATGCAAGATCCTTCCCCAGATCGCCGACCACGGGGTTGCGTTGGCAAGGCGGGGCTTGCGTGTCCGACTTGCAGGACTTGGCAGAAGCTAGTCGCCCAAACATACACTTTGTTTTGCGCAGTGGACGCTTGCCGTGCTCCGGGTCACTCTGCTCGCGTACGCCGACGTGCTGTTACTTTCTATAGATCAACTTGCTGACTGGCAGGGGTCCTGGATTTCGCAATGGTGAACTCAGCTCGCGGCCATTGGCGCGGAGGTTACAGTTTGTTAGGGCTTCACCTCGGGAGCGCGTCAACATGGTCAAGCTGGCTTGGGGGGCGGTCTTCAGTTGGAACTGGACCAGCAACGCGCGCAGCTCATGATGGAGCAGATCAACCGACTGCCCACCTCTCCCACGCCAATCTTTTTCTGAGAAAGCCCGATGCATCTGCCATTCGCGCGAGGGGGCCTTTCGTGCCCCAGCGGCATGGATTCGCCATCAACTTCAACAGGGTCCGATTGACTTTGCTCAGCTCCTAGTCCCAAGGACTCAGCGCGGCGCTTTCGGCGCCGTGCGTGGCCCGCGTTTCCCACTCATCAGAGGATCCGGGAGCGCGGCGAACCACTGTACACACATATATATAGACATGTTGGCTGGATCAGCATGCGAAACAAACGTCGAAAGAAGTGGCTGGAATTTTCAGCGACCAAAGCACGGCGCAATAACATGATAAAGCTAGGGGTGGCTGCCAAAGGAAATGCGCACTGGGGCGGACCATCCCTGGCGGCAAACTGGGAGGGGGGGGGCGCGGCGTTGCGCGCCCCCCGCCGCGAGCGCCTGAAGCTCACGCGGAGATCGCCCCAGCGCGGGCGCCATTGGTCAAGCGAACGACAGCAACTATGCAGCACAAGGCCTTTGCGATCACAAACAACGGTCGTGCCCGACGAAGAGATATCGGCGACTGGATTTCCGCGTTGCTCGGCGGTCGATTTCAGGAAGAAGGCAACTCTGAGCGTAGTTATCCCGACTCTTCGGACGATCATGGCGGCACTTTGGACGTCCAGTCTTCGTTTGACCTGGGCCATCTGCACTTTGTGACGCGTCGCATGCGTGATGGTGGGGTGGCTGCAGTCTTCAATGAACCTGATTTGTCATCACGAGACCAGCTCGGGGCACCGCGTGATGCCATCCAGTGCGCAGCGCCGCGCCTGCAGCTAGCCCCGGGGAACGAAGTGTCTGAAAGGTGCGGCGCTCACCAGGGTGCAGCGTGGCAATGAGGAGCCGAGGCTTGCATGGCGCACACTATTGCCAGCCTGTCTTCATGGCATGCCAACGCGTGCGATTTTGCGGTGGTCAGTGTCCGTTTAAACCGGGCGGCTACTTCCACTCGTGCAGGACAAGATTGTCTCAAGCCGCGTCGGCTTTCGCAAGGTTGTTGCGTATATTCCGGGGGCTGGTCACCTGGGAGCTACTGCTTTGGTTTGTGTACATGTGGCAGACGAGGTGGCCAACGGTTTAGTGAGCAGTGGCAAATGTGTTCATGGTGGGCACGTTGCTGCTGCAGTGCCTCGGCGTCGCGCCTGGCCCAAGGGCCTCTCGCGCGTGCTCGCCCGTGCGCTGCTGGAGGGCTGCCCCAGGGAAAGAGCCATCGTGGTGTCCTAACTCTCTTGTCCCTCTAGTACCTTCACCATCACTCCAATAATCGCCATCCACCGCCTCCTGATGCTCGTGGGCCCAATCTGCCCGCCGCTCCTGGCCCTAGTCCGAACGGGCTCGCCTGGGCGGTCACCAGCTTGCTTGTGAGTGCCCCTGCTCCCGAGGCTCGCACTTCGGGCTTCATCCACTTCCGTCGCGCAGCGGGGCGGGCCTTCGAACCCATCATGTTGCCTGAACAGATGATACTCTGGTGGTGGTGGCGAGTCTCGGGCTGGATCGATCTTCTCGCTGCTGACCTTGCGTCCTCGCACCCCCTCCTTCCCCCCACTCAGGTACACCAGCAATGACCCCGTCCCCGTCCCCTGCCCGAAGAGTTGTACCAGTGCCCATCTGGGGGTCGAAGATCATGCTGGTGCACTCCGACCTTCGAGCCAAGTCAAGGCCCTCTCATTATTTCTTGCTGGCGTCCTCGGTGTTCCTTGCCAGCAGGCAGTTCGTTCAGGCGTTGCTGGAACACCCAGTTCTTCCCGACCCGACCCTTTCATCGCTACCATCATCCCCCCCTGCTCCTCTTGAGTCTCGGGGCAAGTCGACCGCCCCAAGGGTGGCGACGTGCGACCTGGCTTATCCCTACGACCGGCGGGGGTCACCTGAAATAACATCAAAGACCCCCGCCGTACCAAGGGGCGATCTGCGGGGTCGTAAGGGATCCATCCTTCATGGGGTACGAGCCCTTGCCTCCGTGCCTGTTCTTGCTCCCCTTGCTGTTTTTCTCTCGGGGGGAGGGGGCGGTGATGGAGGAACTCGGGCTGATGTGGGAGGAATAGCTGAGGTGGTGAAGGTGTCGCTCTTGTCCATCCGCCCACGTTTTCATCCAGCTCTCAGTGAAGAGGCAGGGGAGCAGGCTCGTCTCGCGCCAACACCTGGGCTGGAGGTGCTCGTGTCGATTCCTTGCCATCTCTCACGTGCGGTGCGCCTGTCGGAGGAGCGTGCGGGCCGTTCACTGACGCCTCGAGCGCTCGCTCTCGCGGCTTGCCAAAGAAAGGGGGAGCTGGGCGGAGGATATTCATTTGAGGGTCCAAATTTGGGACGTGGTTTGGCCCTTCTCGGGTCCTCGGAGGCCTCCAGGGACTTCTGGCTGGGGAAGCCTCGAGGCATCCATAGGGAGGGGCAGGTGGAGGGTGAGGGGCGGGGAGGGAGGGAGAGGAGAATGGGAAGGAGAGGAAGGGGTGGGAGGGGCAGTCGCTCCATCGAGGGCCAGCGCCGCACGAGGAAAAAAGGGAGAAGGGGAGAGGGGGAGAGAGGACGGGTGAGGAGAGACCAGGACGAGTGGGAACGAGCAGGAGAAGGGAGGGGAGCTGAGGAGCACGAGGGCAGGAGGAGGAGAGGAGTACCAGGAGGAAAAAGACGAGGAAGTCAAGGACGCCCTCGCATCCAAGCTTGCCTCATGCCTCCCTGAGCCTCGCAAAGCGGGAAAAACAGCACCTACGGAGAGCGGCCAGCGATTAGGTACACGTCGTTCGCTTCAAGTCTTGCTGTTCCAATGGCCACATGATAGCTATAAGAGGCAACTAGAGCAATCATACACGAACATTATATAGTCGCCAGGATAAGTGATCGACACGTAGATTGACCAGAGGCGTGGCGGAGGAAGTATCTCCAGACCTCTGACGACTTGATCAAGCCGCGACCGAATTGATATTTGCTATTTTCGGCGTCGGGGCGCCGTATTAGGCCCCAAGACTGTCGCAAACGAATGGGATGCAAAGCTGTCCCGGGGAATGGGGTCGAGAGATCTGGCAGCCAGCGGCTCGAACAACAAGTCGTCGGAGGTCGGAGTCCCGAGCTCCGGCGAATGGCATCTAGAACGCTCGGGAGAAGGAGACGCAGCGACGAAGCTCGCGGGAGGGACGCAACAGCATGGGGCTAGGCACAGTGTGGCCCGACCGACGCCCTTCTGCCGACGCCCTAACAGAGCACAAGAAGAGACAAGTCCAAAAGTGCTGGCGGCGAAGCTAGATGGGACGTGTCACTGCGTCAGGCATGAGCTGAGATCTCCGTTGCCTCCGTTTGCATCTGCAACGACATGCCGGCGCGGGAGGAAGTGGCCCATCCAGTGGGCTCCTCCAAACTGAGGGCGTTCCTTATGTTCAATCGTGGCGCCCCCAGCAGGGTCGTAGAAGTACGACACCAGATCTCCCGTTACTCGATGCGACATAAGCACAGTGTGCTTCAGGGCGGAGTTCCTGCGCTGAAAGGGAGAGGCCCCCGCGTTGAATACATCCACACGTGTGAAGCGATACTCGGGGCGCTTTTCGAAGACGTAGGCCAACTCGTGCATAACAGACCCACCCAGCGAGTGCCCACAACCGTAAAACCTGTAGCCAGGGAAGCGCTTGCACACGGCCCGGTACGCTGCTTTCGCCTCATCCACGCGCGCAGGCGGGAGGCCCATGATAACACGGGCGTCGTCGCTCAAGTCGCGGGGTACGAAAGGATTGGTTCCCCGGACGCACGTGAAGAGCTGGAACTCCTCGCAGATAGAAGGCATTGATGAGGGGGAGGAGGAACAAGAGCAGGAGGCTGGAACTCTTGCATGACCACCTTGCTCCCCACCCGTTCCTCATCCTACCTTCCCCATCCCTCCTCTTCCCCCTCTGTCTCTCCTCCGGCTCCCAGAAGCCCGCTTCCGCCTTGTTCTTCCGAACGATTCGATCTCCTGCTCCAGCTTCTCAGGCTCCTCTGGCTCTCCACCTCCCCCTGCCAAGAATACTCAATACGAGTACTTCTCATCTTTCCCCTGGTCATATCCAGTGGTGTCGGCGACTCGGCGACTCTCTCACGCATTGTTTTTAAACAAACGTGATTCCCGAAATTGGTCTTTCATCTCATCTGTTGTTGATCGGAGAATCCCCAGTCCTTCGGAAGTGCTGCTCCCGCTGCAGTGTTGACCACGTTTCAAAAAAGGAACTTTGATCCCGTCGTTCAGAACGGCGCTCTCGCCGACGCGCAGGCAACATTTCTGGATACTTCCTTTCTCATAGTTGCCGCCCCCCTCCTTTCGCCTCCTCCGCCTCCCCCTGCTCCTCAAGAGTATCATGTTCCTGCTGCTGATCCTCCTCCTCCTCCTCCTTCCCTTCCTCCTTGCTCATCGCCTTCTTCCTCCGGCTCATTCGCCGCCTCCTCCTCCCCCATGTACGGAGGACCCCCTGCTGCTTGGGTCATCTAGGGCCCCCTGCTTGCGAATCACACGATTGGGTCACCTAGGGCATCTCTATCGGTGGACATAAAATCAACCTGGCGAAGGGCCCGGCCATCTGCAGCTGTAAATACCGCAGTTGAGAGAGGCGTTATCGGTTGAGCCCCCTTCGGGGCGACGAAACGTGCGGGGTGCATGCCTGGCACGGGTACGCCACGCGGACGATGCCGCTGGGGCATTTTGCGAAGCTCCGGCCACAAATCGTGTCAGGGGTGTGCCAGATCGGGTACGGATGCGCCATGCGGACTGTGCCGCTGGAGTTGTTGTTTGCGAACTCCGATGGGTTCTCGAAGCGTGTGAGAGGTGTGCCGAATCGTGTGCAGGTACGCCATGCGGACTGGGCCGCTGGAGCCCTCGGTGGAGCCCCCTCTGGGAACCCGAAACGTGTGAATGGTGTGCCGAATCGGGCGCGGGTGCGCCATGTGGACTGTGCCACTGGGGCCTTCGGTGGGGTTCCCTATGGGGCCACGAAGCGTATCGGGTGCGGGTGCGCCTTGCGGGCATTGCCGCTGGGGCGTTTGCGGAGCTCCCTGTGGGGCCTCGAAGCGTGTAAGAATGTGCCGAATCGGGCGCGGGTGCGCCATGCAGACTGTGCCGCCGAGGCCTTCGGTGGGGTTCTCTAAGGGGCCACGACACGTGTGAGTGCCGATTTGAATGCGGGAGCGCCATGCGGACTGTGCCCTTAGAGCTTTCGGTGGAGCTCCCCGTGCGGCAGCGCCATGCGGACTGTGCCACGGGGGACCTTCGGTGGAGCTCCCTGGAGCCACAACATGTGTGAGTGGTGTGCCGAATCGGGCGCGGGTGCGCCATGCGGACTTTGCCGCTGGGGCATTCGGTGGAACTCACTATGGGGCCACGAAGCGTGTGAACGGAATGCCGAATCGGGTGCGGGTACGCCATGCGGACTGTACCACTGGGGCCTTCGGTGGATATCCCCCTGGCCCTGGGGCCACGAAACGTGTGAAACGTGTGAGTCGCTTGCCGAAATGGACATGCGGGGGTAGAGGCACGGATGAGGAAGGAGGGGGAGGAATAGGAAAAGGATGCTGATGATAATGATGATGATCATGAGGAGGAGGAGGAGGAGGAGGAGGAGGAGGAGGGAGGAGGAGGAGGAGGAGGAGGAGGAAAGAGGAAAAAGGAAGAGAGAGGAAGGACCGCGGGGCGCTGTCTCTTCAAAACAAGGACCCAACACCACAGGACGGCTGAGAACACTTCGGCACCATGGAAGGGAAGTGTGGGAGGGGTGGGATGTCAGTCATGGAGTCATCATCCTCTGCCTTCTCCTGTTCCTCATCCGTCCTTCTGCTACCTCCAACTTCTCCTTATTCTCCTCGCCGTCCTCATCATCACACCTTGTTTCCTCCTCCCGCTTCTCTTCATTCCCTTCTTCCCTCAACTAATCCTACCACCTCGATGTCCTCCTCCTCGCACAATCAGATTAGACGTGTTGGCATAGCGGCCCAAACGTGTCGCTCGAGATCTCCAAACAATGCAAACTGTTACGGAAGGCTCGGCACTTCCATCAGCTTCACGGGCGGAATAATGTAGTTTGAAACTGTGGCTATCGCTTCGGCGCCGTGCACATTCGCCAGCGCAGTTCCGAACAACTATATGGATGGAGGGCAGATCGTAAACATGGGTCCATGATATCAGGCAACGCACATTGGACTGAGCCGATACACGCCATTACACGGATGGTTGGCGATTGGTTTTCAGACTTGAATCCCCCTTTTCAGCCGCGCGCGCATTCACTGAAACAGCTCTCCAACAGCTCCATGGAGGGAGGTTGATAGCTGTTGAACATGTGGCTCTCGCTGGAGACTTCCTCAAATCTTATTGCCAGATAGCTTGTCACTTTCAGCGGCCGCACGGGCGGAGTGAAGATCTCCAGCAAGCACTCAGACGCAGGGTGGCACACCTTCAAATCTGGTTCCGGCTTCAAATCCTTCCTTACGGCTTGGAACTCTCCCAACAACTAGCTGCCAAAATGGATTGGCGCCAACTCCTCAACATCGAACTCTCGCCTGGGACCTCCCAAATTTCAATATCACAATGCGTCAGACGTTCAACACTTGCACGCATGGTAAGAAGCTCCTTGTCAACATCGTTCTCCCTCCGGTGCTGCTCGCATCTTGCTGATAGGTTAAACAAACTGTATGGGCGAGTGGTGACCCCCTCTCAAACGTGCTGCGCTTTGAAACATTATGCTACCGAGCAGTTGCATGATGCTCATTGAAAAAATGTCCATGGGGCCCTGACGCTGCGGGCCGGGGCTAGGAACTCGAGATCGTATTACAGCACTTCCAACTCCACCTCATCCCTCCTCCTCTTCTTCCCTCCTCCCTCATCCTGACTCCTCTTGGAAGTCCTCGTGATCCACGAGGATGGCCATGTCCTGGCTCGCGTGCGCGACAACCAGCCGCCCAAGGACCTTCGCGAACCTGGGGTAGTCCAGGCATGACTTCACCAAGGCAGCCTGGGAGGAAGATAAAGATTGGGAAGGAACTGGCAGGGAGAGGAGACGGAGGAGGGAGGGGAGGAGGAGGAGGAGGAGGAGGAGGGTGAGGAGAAGGAGGAGCCGGGAGGTGTAGGAGGGGAGGACACAGGGGAGGAGACGGTTCTCCTCCTCCTGGGAGGGGGGGTCCGAAACCTCCATGAAACCATCCCAGCGCATCAGAAAACCACAAACGTCCAAAGTCATTTCGAATGCCGCAGCCCCCGCGCCCTCCACCCTCGTGTCCTCCATGTGCCCCTTTCTCTTCGATCGATATACACACATATACTCATGATCTCTCTCTCTCTCTCTCTCTCTATCTCAGTACATACGAGTCTGAATATTCATATCTCTCTATATATATATATATATATACATCTATATATGTATATATGTGTATACGCGTGTGCATATACAGTTCAAGCCTGACTGGACATGCCTGTGCGACACTGACTGCACCAGGAGAGCAGGCCCAGAGCGAATAGGAAAAAGGCAGAGCGAGGAACCGATCCAAGAAATCCACGCGGAACTCAGAGCGTTCATGGCCATGCCGTTTCCTCCTCTTCGACCTTCGTGGAGGGCAGAGCAGAGGCCTCCTCATCCCTCCCTCCTGCTCCTTCCTCCCTCCCCGTTCTCCCGTGGAGGTCCCCGAAGGAAACAAAGTCCTCGTGGGCCTCTGGTGGCCTCTGGAGGCCCCGGGGCCCTCTGGAAGCCTCCAGGGCACACCCCCGAAGGCAACAACGAGCGCCCCCCAAATGCCAAAAGGACCTACAACAAGACTCTGCCTCCTCCAGGGGGCGGGTGGGAGCGGGAGGCCCGCGGAGGAAAGGGCCAGAGTAGGATCAGCAGGAGGAAGGGCCTTCTCCTCCTCCTGTTCCTTCCTCCTCCTCCTCCTCCTCCTCCTCCTCCTGCCGCCCCCTGGGATCATGCTACCGATCCCCCTTTCTCCTGCCCTCCTCCTGGAAGAGGAAAAGGAGGAGAGCAAAACACAAGCCTCCACGAGGTCCGCATGCGTCAGCTCGCCGCCACGCTTGCCCTCCGAGCCAGGGCTCGAGCCCGTCCAGCCCAGCAGGTGCTGGGGCAAGACGGTGAGGATGGCCTGGAGCTTGATGAACCTGCGGCCAGCGAGGGACGAAGCATGGAGGGGGGAGTGGGGAGGGCGAGGGCGGAAGGAGTGGGAGGAATAATCCAGGAGGAGAAGGAGACGAATAAGGATGAGGAGGAGGAGGAGGAAAGAGAGGAGGAGAATGAGCAGGAAACGGGGCGAGGGGAAAGATCAGGAGCACGAGGACCGAAGGGACACGTAGGAGGAAGGGAAGGAGCTCGAGAAGAGAATGATGAAGAAGAGGGATGCAGGAGGAATATGATCAGGGTGGCAAGGGCGGGGACGATAAGGATGTCATGTGAGGATGATGAGGTGGCGCTGGTCTTGAAGGCAGAGAGGCAAATAAAGAGAGAGAGAGAGAGAGAGACAAGTTGCGGAGGGATAGAAGACGAGAGAAGACGGGGATGAGGAGAAGAAGAGAAAACGTGATGAAGGAACAACAAGACGAGAGATGGTGATGAGGGAGGAGGAGGAGGAGGAGGAGGAGGAGGAGGCGCACCGCCGAGAGAGGGAGAGGAGGGGGGTCCCAGGTCATCCGCCGGCAGGGCGCGCGGCCCGCCTTCGAAGACCGACGCGTTGCCGATCATGCCGACGCAGGCGGCGGGGGGGAGGGGGGGAAAAAAGGCGCGTGTTTTACACAGCTGTTTCCGTGCTGGTGCAGCTATTGTCCTAGATTCTCTGGCGGCGAATCTGAGCCGCGCACGAAGAAGAGAAAAAGGTAACATCGGGTTGTAATACCATCTGCGCTGGGGCCTTAAATACTTGATATGTATTGTGGATCAGGCCCATGGCGACAAAATGCGAGAACACAGATCCAGGAGGGGAGGTCAAGAGGAAGGGCATCAGGGCTTGGTAAGGATCGCCCCCCATTCATCAGGCACCCAGGGCAAGAGCTTTTTCGCCATCGGGCTGAAGACTGGCATCGGTCTGAGGACTGGGCACCCGCAGTAGTGCAGAAGGTCGTCGCCCCCGACGCCCTGGCATCCGAAACCGCAGGTTTGGGCGCCGTGTCTGTACCCCCGCGTGGTATTCCACCTATGAAAGATACACAGCAGTGGCGATGAACTTGTGGATTTGTTGGGCCACCGCGCTCAGGCGCAAGATGGCGAGGTGGGCCTGGTCGGGGCTAACCTGGGGGGCACAGCTTCGAGAGCCGAGGGTGCACAACCAGAAAGATACATGGGGCCAACCAGAGCACGTTCTTCTTCCGGGTTTTTAGCCTGCTTGGCTTGAGCTCGATTTTGTGGCGCATACCAACGGGCGACGGACAGCAGGAAACAAACCGGCACTGATTTCATGCGAATCGCAACGCCGTGGCCGATATCTCGCAATTGGAAAAGAGCCTCGGGCGGGAAGCTGAATCTCGGTGCACACGTGAGCCGCTGAAGGGAATTCTGCTATGCGACCTCACCCACTTCGGCGGGCCCCAGCACTGCGCAACATGGCTAACATCAGACAGCGCGAGCATTTGTAAGCAGTGATGCTGTAGCTGAGACTCTCCCCAACTGCTTTACGAGTAGCGTCTTCCTGGCCAGGGCGTTCATGACCTGTGTCCAAGACGCGCTTCGGCCCCCAACTCCAACGCGTTCCCCGAGATCTCCCCCATTGGCCTGCATGCGGAACCTCATCGTCCTCGCGCCCACCCCCAACGTCGCCCCCACCGCCTCATTCCGAAACTTCTCATCAGGAACAACCAGCACACGCCTATTGATGTTCAGGACAAGCCCCGCGGCCCACATGGAATCCGCGAAGCCCTTGAGGACGACGGGAAGGCGACCAACTCCTTACATGCGGCGGCGATGTCATCGGCGAAGGCCCGCAAGATGGGCGGCAAGGCCTGGGCGGCTTTCCTGGTCTGGGTCAGGGCGGGATTGATGCGGAGACAGACAATCAGGCCAGCGATAAGGCGCCCTTGCTTGACCCCGAGGGTGGCGGTTATAAAGGTCGGCTCGCAGCCGTTCATGCTGACGGTCATCTTCATGTCATGATGCATTCATTGAACGACACGGCGCACGTGAAACGGCACATTCAAGTCCGCCAGCACCCCTCAGGTGCAGGCGCGCGCCACACTAGGGAACGCTGCTTTTATGTCAAAAAGCACCGTTCCAAACCTTGGGTTGGTGTCCATCGCGGCCCACTTCAGCACGGCGCTGTCGATCAAAAAAAGGCCGTCCAGGAGCCCCCGCCCTTTCACAAAGCCACGTTGACAAACTCCGGCGAAATCGGACACGATCTGCCCTGGGGGAAAGCCCACGGCGGTGGTCGGGATTTTGTTGTCGGCATTTGACAGCGCGAGTGGCCTCGCGCAAGCAGGCGCGCGGGCAGCAGCATCGACTCCACCGGGCCCGTCTTTCGGAAGGGCCCCCACCCCGTGAGATATTGAAATCCCTCGGAAGCGGGCCCTCGTCCATCCGGCGAAGGTGCACTTAGGAAAGAACGCGCTGGACTGCAGGTGGCGAACGCTGCCACGCTGCGCATGGCACGCCGTCTGGGCCTAGGGGCGAATCATGCTTGCGCGCGATGACGGCGTATATAAACTCCTCTGAAATAGCCCCAGGATGCCTGGCCTCGTCGGTGGAGACAGACTCGTACTCGTTCGATGGGAATCGGCGTAACCTCGTGGCGCAGCTCCTGGATGCCTTGGGGGTCGACCTGGATGCCCCTGAAGATGGCGCACCAAAAATCGGCCAGCAGCTTGGCGCACTCGCGCCCATCAGAAAAAAGTGTTACCCTCAGAATCGAGGCAGAGCCTGCGCCCTTGTCGTCTCCATGCTTGGGCCATCTCGCGAACCCGTCGGATCTGAGCTCGGTTCCTGGCAGCGTTGTCTTCGTGCGGGGTTGTTCGCCTGCGCCCCCTGCCCCCCTTCCTCCAAAAGCGCCCGCATAAGGCCCCCCAGGAACGCATCAAGCCTCGCCCTCGGTTCCCAATCGTTCAGCTCAAGGCCCAAATGCTCCGACAGTTTGGGCAACACTTCAACGGCTTTCCGAGCATCGAGAAAGTTCCCTCCTCGAACCGCCTCTGCAAGCTCGACTGCACATGCGATCTTTTCCTCCAGGGCGGATGAACCGGTGGCGTAGATGCGTCGGCGCACTCGCCTTGCCGCCCAGTGAAACTCGCCATGGGTGCTCTGGAGCTGGCCATCAAGCGCCCGGCCAAATTCGTCTGGGACAGCTAGCTCTTCCGCAGTCTGCCTGAATACAGGGCGTCGGGCAATCCAGATCGGAATCGACGAATTTCCAGTCGGCATGCGCATTCCTACTGCATGCGCGAAGCTGTGCATCAGGAAAGCCAGGACGACCGCGCCCATGCGAGGGGGGGGGGGGGGGGGGGCGGGCGCGCACAGGCGAGGCAGCCAAGGCAATGCATCCAGCAGGAACGGCAAGTACTTGCAAGCGCAATCGGGGCGGTGGCTGTCGCTGGCCGCCAAGTGCGGAGCACGGGCATCAGGGGGATGCGCAGGCTCCACCCTGCACTCGGGACTACAAAGCCTGTCAGGCGGGCCGCCCGCGCGACGCGCATCACATAGATGCACAGCGCTCTCCCTCGGCGGCGGCTGGCATGGATTGTCGCGCGACAAATGGAACTGCCGCGCGGAATCACTCTAGCGAGCCGTAGGTCCTGCATATCTCGGAGCAAATGGGCCGCGCCGTTCCTGGGGTCGATCGACTGGGGCACGGCGGGATTGATGTTCTCAGTGAACTGCTTGCCGCTGGCGAGGGAAGGGAACTGGATCTTGCAGCTCTGGGCGACGGCGTGGAAGGTCGGTTTGGCTCCCTGCAGGAGTTGGGGGGGGTGGGTGCTCACGATGTTCTTAAAGTGGGCCTTTTCGGGCGGACTTGTGCACGGGCCTTGGGCACGTGCCATTGAAACGGGCGAGCGGGTTTGTGCCTCCTTGCTGCGGCTCACGGCTCGAAGGGGTATGCGTTCAAGTTCGCGACCTGGCACCACTCTCGCGGGCGGTGTGTGTTGGTCCGACTGTTAGCCGCGATCTGCAACTGCTGAGCGAGAATATGGATCTGCTTCTGGTGGGCGTTGAGGGTGTCTTGGGTGCTGGCCACCCTTGCGTCCACGGCGACGATGGAGGCCTCATGGTGGTCATTTCTGCTCTGAACTGCGACAGAGTTGCTGTCGATCGAGGCGGTGATGTTGGCTTCCATGCTCTGCATCATCGCGTGCATGGCGCCCATCATCACATTGGGTGCGGAAGTCGCTCTGCCCTCCAAGGATGAAGCAGAGGGAGTGGTAGGCAGGTAGGCGCAGGCGACCGATCTTTGTGATGACGGCGTGCTTCACTGGCGGATGAAGGCACACTTCATCCTGCTGGCCGCCTGCAGCAGGCACTGCCGGATGAGTGATGACGGCACCTCGGCGGAGAGTCAGAGCGGTCACAGCTGCGGTTCTTCGTGACTGCCTTCGTGATCCCCCTGCGCGCCATGACTTGGAGGGCGAGCGACGAGACCTTGTGGGTAAGATGGGAGCCTCTTGCGGGCCTCAGAGCCGAGATGAGCTACGAAAGGGGCTCCAAAGCCAATCGCTGGTTCTCGGGCGTCTATAGCCCTTCACAACGTTTAACCTTGAGCCAAAACGGCTACGGAGAAGGAGGAGGAGGAGCAGGAGGAGGAGAAGGGAGGACTGCGGAGAAGGAGGAGGAAACGAAGGAGCAGGGAAGACTGCGGAGGCGGAGGAAGAGAAAGCACCTGCGGTCGTCCCTGTGGAGGTCGGAGGCCTTCCAAGGTAATCAAAGCGACATTGGCACATAGCTCCGGCCTCCTCTCCCGTACTCCTGCTCGTCGTCATTGCCCTCGCCTGCTCCGTTTTCCTCCTCGTCCTCCTCCTCGTCCTCCTCCTTGTCCACCTCATCCGCCTCTTCCTCCTCCTCTTCCTGCTCCGCCTCCTTCTCCTCGCTTCCTTCTCGTCCCCCCCTCGTCTCCTGATCCTCTTCGAGTCTTCCTCCTCGTCCTCCGCCTCGTCGCCGCCAGGCTTGGACTCGTCGGCCACCGCCATTGTCGCCGTCACCCGAATCGGCGGCCCTGACGAGGGGGCGACGGCGGCAGTGGCACTGCCGAGACGCGCCCAGAGTCCAGCGAGGGTGCAAACCCGACTTGTCTGGCTGATGCTCTGGGGGGGGGGGGCCTGTTCTCAGGGGAGAGTGCAGCACCGCTCAACGATGTGCTGTCAACCAAACCTGCAGGGTGGGCCCTTTCCATTTTCCTGTGCACTTCAGCTTTGGCTTCGGCTTCAGCTGCCGATGCACGGCGAAGCGCCTTCGGGCCAGTTCACCCGATTCGGATGTTCCGCTCGCACGGGTGCTCCCCCCGCCCTCCCCTCCGCCTCGTCCTCGTTGTGCCGCTGCTCCTCCTCCTCCTCCTCCTCCTCCTCCTCCTCCTCCTCCTCCTCCTCCTCCTCCTCCTCCTCCTCCTCAATCATCTTGCACCTCCTCTCATTTGGTCTCAATCTTGCCGCCGCATGTGGGTCAGGCTGGCCCGTCCTTTTCGGGCTCTCCCTTCTCATCGTATCCTCATCCTCCTCGTCTACCTTCCACTCCTCTCATCGCTCCTCCTTCTGCCCGTCCGCAGATGAGGGCCCCAATGGGGGAGGAGGCAAGAGGAGGAGGAGGCGCATGTATGATGGTGATCAGGAGAACGAGGATGAGGGAACAGGAGACGAGTGGCTGCCACATCCCGCTGGGGCGCTGGGGGGGGTGATCTCCATCCGTCACCTCCTCCCTCGCACTCTTCCACCCTTTCCTGCCACCGCCTCCTGCATTCATGCTCCCTCTGCTCCTGATCCAGTGTTGCCTCCTCCGCCTCCTCCTCCTCCTCCTCCTCCTCCTCCTCTCCTCCTCCTCCTCCATTTCCTCCTCCCCCTCCTCTTCCTCCTGCTCCCCTTCCTCCCTCTCATCCACCTCCTCCTCCTCCTCCTCCTCCTCCTCCTCCTCCTCCTCCTTCTTCTCCTGACCCTCCCCAGAAGGCGGGCACCACGAGTGGATCCAGACCTCCATCGACTCACCTTTGATGCCCCTGCAGCTCTTGGCACCTCATCGTGCACGTGACGGCCCTGGGGCCCAGAAGCGACCCACGGACGCGACAAAACCTAGAAAACAACCTGCCGCAAAATTGTTTGACTCCTTGAGTCGCCACAGATAAATCTGGGAAGCAATTCCGCCCCAAACCGGCCCCTGGCCGCCTCCTCGGGGGCGCTCTGACAAGAACTTCGAAGGGCCACGAGGGCGCCCAAGGAGGGCCATGAAAGGTCCGCCAAACGTCCAGAGCCTCGACCCTGGATCCCCGAATGTCGTTTTCCTCGCCGCTTTCCTGTGGCCGCCCATCGCCTTCACGCCCAGCTCCTGGTGGGCCCCGCGATCGCCCGCCGCTGACCCCTGCACCTCCTCCGCAGCGGCGCCTGGCGGCACTGCACCGGCGGACTCCGGGGAGGACCGAAAACCGACGGCCTGTCGGGCCTCGGCCCTCTGTCGGCGACGGGGGAGACGACGGCCAAAGAGGAGGGGGAGGAGAAGGCATCAGTTGGGGGGACTAAGAAGACCTTTTGCTCGCGGGGCCTGGTACAGTAGGCACGATGCGAGCCCACGAGAAGATGCCGTACCAAATTCTGGGGCGAACAATGCCGGCTCGTGACCCCGGACGGCTGGCAGCACGACAGTGCGGCTTCACGGCTAGCGTGCGCGCGCCAGGCTCCGTATGGGCAAACATGCGTAGGGCGTCCAATATAATGCCTTATGCCCAGCCCAACCCATCCCCGCAAAATCCCACCAGCCCTCTGGGCGACAGGTGGTCTAACGACATCCCTCTTCCCTCTTACACAACCCCTTCTTCCCCTTCGGGGAGGGGTTTGCCCCTCCCCCACCCCTCCCCTGGACCTGGACGGGGGGTCCCGCGAGGGGTTGGGGCGTCCAAGATGGCCCAAGATGGCACCAAAAGGGCCTCCGATGCTCCAAGATGGCCTCCAAGACGGCTCAAAACAGCCGAAGATGCTTCAAGACAGCTTCCGGCATGTCTCCAAGAGGCCCCACGAGGGCCACAAGACGGTTCCAGGTGCCCTCAAGGACCCCCCAGGACCTCCCCGAAAAGCGAAAAGCCAAAGTCTAAAAAAAACGTAAGAAAATCAACGATGTGTGCCTTCTAAGGCCTCAACATGGCCCCAAAAAACCCAAGAGCGCCCCCAGAGAGCCCCAAGAGCGCCCCATGAGACGGATCTGAGGGCCCCAGAAGGGGGACGGAGATACAAGAAACCTCTCTTTTGATCAATAGCCTCCAACATGGCCCCAAGAGGGCCTCCAGAGTTCCCAAGAGAGCCCCAAGAGGGCCCCAAGAGAGCTCCAGGAGGGCCCCAAGACGGCACCAAAAACGTCCAAGAACGCACCTGAAGAGCCCCAAGAAGCGGTTTACGGGCTCCTGAGGGGGAGGCTGAGTTGGGGACCCCCTTTATCGTTTGATCGATGGCCTCCAAGATGGTCCCAACAAGCCTTCCAAGGTTATCAAGAGGTTCCAAGAGGGCCCCCCAAACTCCCAGAGAGCACCAGCAGCAGCAACAGCCGCAATAATACCTCTAAATGGTTCCATGAGTCCTCGTCCGCGGCGTCCTCATCCAAGTCCTCCTCCTCCTCCTCCTGCTCCTCCTCCTCCTCCTCCTCCTCCTCCTCTCGTCTTCCTCTTGGTCCTAGTCCTCGTCCGCGTCTTTGACCTAAGCCCCCTCCTCCTCCTCGCATCGCATCGCATCGCATCGGTGAGACTGGAAGTCCGTAGCCTATACAAGGGTGAAGCCGAGCAGGGCAAAAGGACAGAGTACGAATTCATGCAGAGGGAGAGAGAGAGAGAGAGAGAGAGAGACAGAGAGAGAGGAATACCTAGGCCTAGCCCTGGCTGCCGCGAGGGTGATTTGCAGGCCCGTGAGCCATGCAGTCATGTGCCATCTGATGCTGAACGTAGGGGTCGAGCGGCACGTGGAAAGCCGCCGCCCATCGGGCAAAACCCACTCAATTATAGCGCCGCGCGCGCAGGTGAACGTGAGATGGATATCAGCAAGCAGGGATGAAGCAAGATGACGGCAGAGGGCGCGAGGGTAGACTTTGGCACGACCGATCGTCCAGAATCGATCGCTGATGAGCCCAAGAACCGCCACATGCGCGCATCCCCCACATCGGCCCCTCCGAGGCCTGCAGTCCGTGAGCCCCCGAAGCGCAGGACAGTGAACCGAGAGAAGCCGCGTAGGCTTGAGGGATGAGCTGCCAAACTGGCACTGATCTATGTCGACAGTCTGGACGTGGGGCAGGCGCGCAAACCTCACCATCTCGGCGCGAGAGGCGCGCGGGGAGGGATGCTCCTCCTCCTCCTCCTCCTTCTCCTCCTCCTCCCCCTCCTCCTCCTCATCCCACCAGCCCTCTGGGCGACAGGTGGTCTAAAGAGGGTCTCTTTCCTCTTCCACAACCCCTCTTCCCTTAGGGGAGGGGAATCGGGGATCTTCTGACCCGGGTCAATCCAGACCCGTCAGCAGGAAACCAAAATTATCTGGCGAAGGACCCAACCATACGCAAGTGTGAGAACCGCAGGGCAGGTGGGACGAAGCAGTGGGAATTCACTATGGGGCCACGGACCGTGTGAGAGGTGCGCCAAAATGGGGCGGGGCCGCCACGCGAACCCTGCCACTGGGGCCTTCGGTGGAGCCCTGTACGGGGCCACGAACCATGTGAAGGGTGCGCCAAAATGAAACGGGGCCGCCACGCGAACCCTGCCACTGGGCCTTCGGTGGAGCTCCCTGTGGGGCCACGAACCGTGTGAGGGGTGCGCCAAAATGGCGCGGGGCCGCCATGCGAACCCTGCCACTGGGGCCTTCGGTGGAGCTCCCTACGGGGCCACGAATCGTGTGAAGGATGCGCCAAAATGAAGCGGGGCCGCCACGCGAACCCTGCCACTGGCGCCTTCGGTGGAGCTCCCTATGGGGCCACGAACCGTGTGAGGGTGTGACGAAATCACCCGAGGCCGCCATGCGAACACTGCCGCTGGAGCCTTCGGTGGAGCTCCCAATGAGGCCACAATCCTCGTGAGGGGTGTGCCGAAATGGCGCGGGGCCGCCATTTTAACCCTGCCACTGGGGCCTTCGGTGGAGCTCCCTATGCGGCCACGAACCGTGTGAGGGGTGCGCCAAAATGGCGCGGGGCCGCCATGCGATTACTGCCACTGGGGCCTTCGGTGGAGCCCTGTATGGGGCCACAAACCATGTGAGAGGTGCGCCAAAATGGGGCGGGGCCGCCACGCGAACCCTGCCACTGGGGCCTTCGGTGGAGCCCTGTACGGGGCCACGAACCATGTGAAGGGTGCGTCAAAATGAAACGGGGCCGCCACGCGAACCCTGCCACTGGGCCTTCGGTGGAGCTCCCTGTGGGGCCACGAACCGTGTGAGGGGTGCGCCAAAATGGCGCGGGGCCGCCATGCGAACCCTGCCACTGGGGCCTTCGGTGGAGCTCCCTGTGGGGCCACGAATCGTGCGAGGGGTGCGCCAAAATGAAACGGGGCCGCCACGCGAACCCTGCCACTGGCGCCTTCGGTGGAGCTCCCTATGGGGCCACGAACCGTGTGAGGGGTGCGCCAAAACGCGGGGCCGCCATGCGAACCCTGCCACTGGGGCCTCTGGTGGACCCTATGGGGCCACGAAGCGCTGTACGGGGTGGGTGGAACGTATGGAGGAGGGAGGAGGAGAGGAGGAGAGGAGGAGGGAAGGAGGAGGAACGCGGGGCGCCGTCTCTTCAAAATGAGGACCCAACACCACAGGATGGTGAGGAAAAACTGCAACGCAGGTCTTCGCAAACCCGGGTCAGCCAATGTGCGCGGCCGCCTCGCGGCCACGAGCGGCTCGCTAACCCGGGTCAGCCAGAGAGGGCTTTCGCAGGACCCTGCAGGATCCGGTGCCCTGGCTGACCCCCGTTTGCATTAACCCCCGTCTCTTAAGCCCCGTGGGAACCTTCCCCCTCCTCTCCCGGAGGGTTTTTTGTTGGGAGGGATCGCGAGGTGTCGGAGGCTCCTTTTTCGGCCATTGGGATGGCCTTTTTCTGCCACCCCTCACGAGGATCGTGGCCCCCGAGGGGGGGACGCAAATCGGGCAACCCCCCATTTTTTGACCGACCGCCTCCAAGATGACCCCAAGAGACCCTCCAGGGCTCCCAAGAGGCTCTCCAAGAGGACGCGAAAAACGCCCCAAGAAGCCCCAAGGGGCCTCCAAAAAACAACCGAGAGGCCACGAAGAGGCCCCCGAGCGGCCTCTGAGAGCCCAAGATGAGCTCCAAGATGGCTCACATAGCCCAAACTGGCTCAAGATGTTTCCCAAAATGCTCCAGACGGCCACAACACCGCTCCAAGACGGCTCGGGATGGCCACAGGGCGTCACACGCCTCCCTCACTATTGTTCACTTTTCGTGTCTCTTCCTATCTCCCCTGGATGGGCTGGTGGGGATAGGCGAAGCGTCCAGAACTGCCACCTGGCACCTGTCACCCGACATAGCCTTCGTGCACCCACCTCCATGCGGCTGCAGTGTCGCTGCAATATCAAAATTTGGCACAACGTAGTTGCACTCGTGTTGCGTCCCACATGTTCCACAAACGTGGCGAGCCCTCGCGCCTATCGTATTGAAACGCGCCGTGACCATGCCCAGGAGGGCGATGGGGCAGGATGACGGGCGGGAGCGGGATTGGAGGGGCAGGATGGCGATGCTGATGGTGATGATGCTGCTGCTGCTGATGATGAGAGGGAGGAGGAGAATGAGGAGAAATATAATGGTGATGGTGACGACGACGATGGTGATGATGCTGTGGATAGATCGGGGCCATCTTCCTTCTTTTTGTGCAAACGGCGAAGGGCGGCCACGAGCTCGAAACAACAATGGGTGAAGCACAGACTCGGTGAAACAGGACATTCTTTGCGCTCAAGTTGGGCGGGAGGGCCCTGGGAAGAACTTGAGCAAAAGTGTTGCGGCCACGGATAGTCCACAAATGCCGGCAAGTCGCTGTATGCGGATAGATCGGGGGCCATGTTCTTTCTTTTTGTGTTAACGGCGAAGGACGGCCACGAGCTCGAAACGACCGCTGGCGAAGCACAGGCTCGGTACCTCACGCTAGTCCCGACACATGGCCATAGCCGAAAAAAACTCATTGACCAACAACTGTCTTGTACCTGGCGGCGCGGGACAGCTGCCGAGCGGCGGCCACTATCATGTCCGTGCCAGCGTTGGCCACTTCAAAGGGGAGCCCGTTCGCAGACGCTCGGACGACGGCACCCAGCGCTGGACGACCGAGGCCCCCCAAATGGCGACTCCCTGCGCGGCCGCACAGGCCGTGGGAGCAGTGGCAGCGGCGCGCGAGGAGGTTGAGATCGGTGACGCCCCAACCTACCAT